GGTTTGAGCTGGCCTGTCCCGGTTTGATCAGGTCAAAACCGGTTTGTGCCGGTCTGGTCCGGTGTGAGACGGTGAAAACCGATTTGAGCCGGTCTGGTCTGGTTTTAGTCTGATTTGAGCTGGTCAAAAACGGTTTGAGCCGGTCTGGTCTGGGTGGATCCGGTTTGAGCCAGTCTGGTCCGGTTTGATACAGTTTGAGCCGGTCAAAACCGGTTTGAGTCCGGTTTGAGCCCGTCAAAACTGGTTTGAGTCCGGTTTGAGCCGGTCAAAACCGGTTTGAGCCGGTCTAGCCGGTCTGGTCTGGATTGATCCGGTTTGAGCCGGTCTGGCGCAGTTTGATCCAGTTTGAGCCCATGTGGTCCGGTTTGAGCCGGTTTGAGCAGGTCTTGTCCGGTTTCAGTCCGGTTAAGCCGGTCTGGTACGGTTTGAGCCAGTCAAAACCGTTTTCAGCCAGTCTGGTCCGGGTTGAGTCCTGTTTGAGACTGTCTGGTCCTGTTTGAGCCGGTCTGGTAGGGTTTGAGCCAGTCAAAACCATTTTCAGCCGATCTGGTCCGGTTTGAGTCCGGTTTGATCTGGTCAAAACCGGTTTGTGCCGGTCTGGTATGGTTTGAGGCGGTGAAAACCGGTTTGAGGTGGTCTGGTCCGGTTTGAGTCCGATTTGAGCCGGTCAAAACCTGTTTGAGCCAGTCTGGTCCGGTATGATACGTTTTTGAGCCGGTCAAAACCGGTTTGAGCCGGTCTAGCCGGTCTGGTCTGGATTGATCCGGTTTGAGCCAGTCTGGTCCAGTTTGAGACGGTTTGAGCCCCTGTGGTCCAGTTTGAGCCGGTTTTTGCCGGTCTGGTCCGGTTTAAGTGCAATTAATCCGGTCTGGTACGGTTTGAGCCAGTCAAAACCGTTTTCAGCCAGTCTGGTCCGGTTTGAGTCCTGTTTGAGCCGGTCTGGTACTGTTTGAGCCGGTGTGGTCGGGTTTGAGCTGGTCAAAATCATTTTCAACCGGTCTGGTCTGGATTGGGTCCGGTTTGATCCGGTCAAAACAGGTTTTTGCCGGTCTGGTCCGGTTTGAGGCGGTGAAAACCGGTTTGAGCCGGTCTGGTCTGGTTTGAGTCCGATTTGAGCCGGTCAAAACTGGTTTGAGCCGGTCTGGTCGGGTTTGATCCGGTTTGAGCCAGTCTGGTCCGGTTTGATATGGTTTGGGCCAGTCAAAACCGGTTTGGGTCCGGTTTGAGCCCGTCAAAACCGGTTTGTGCCAGTCTAGCCCGTCTGGACCGGATTGATCTGGTTTGAGCTGGTCTTGTCCGGTTTGATCCGGTTTGAGCCCGTGTGGTCCATTTTGAGACAGTTTGAGCCGGTCTGGTCCGGTTTCCATCCGGTTAAGCCGGTCTGGTATGGTTTGAGCCAGTCAAAACCGTTTTCAGCCGGTCTGGTCAGGGTTGAGTCCTGTTTGAGCTGGTCTGGTCCTGTTTGAGCCAGTCTAGTAGGGTTTGAGCCGGTCAAAACCATTTTCAGCAGTTCTGGTCTGGTTTGAGTCCGGTTTGATCTGGTCAAAACCAGTTTGTGCCGGTCTGGTACGGTTTGATCTGTTTTGAGCCGGTCTGGGTCGGTTTGAGCCTGTCGGAACCGGTTTGAGCCAGTCTCATATGGTCAAAACAGGTTTGAGCCGGTCTGGTCCACTTTGATTCGGTTTGAGCTGGTCAAAACCGGTTTGAGTCCGGTTTAAGCCAGTCAAAACCAGTTTGAGTCGGTCTGCCCTGGTGTGAGCCGGTCAAAACTGGCTTGTGCCGATCTGGTCCGGTTTGAGCCGGTCTAATACGAACAAAACAGGTTTGAGCCGGTCTGCTCCGGTTTGATCCGATTTGAGCACGTCTGCTCCGGTTTGAGTCCGGTTTGAGCCAGTCAAAACCGGTTTGAGCCAGTCTAGCCAGTTTGGTCCGGATCGATCGGGTTTGAGCCGGACTCGTCCGGTTGGATCCGGGTTGAGCCCGTCTGGTACAGTTTGAGCCGATTTGGGCCAGTCGTCTCCGGTTTGAGTCCAGTTAAGCCAGTCTGCTCCTGTTTGAGCCGTTCAAAACCGTTTTCAACCGGTCTGGTCCAGTGTAAGTCCGGTTTCTGATGGTCTGTTCCAGTTTGAGCCGGTCTGGTCGGGTTTGAGCTGGTCAAAGCTGTTTTCAGCCGGAGTGGTCCGGTTTGATCCTGTTTGAGCCGGTCTGGTCCAGTTTGATGCAGTTTGAGTATGTGTGGTCCGGTTTGAGACGGTTTGAGCCGGTCTGGACCAGTTTGAGCTGGTCAAAACCGGTTGGAGCCGGTCTAACCGGTCTGGTCCGTATTGATCTGATTTGAGCCGGTCTGGTCTGATTTGATCCGGTTTGAGTCCGTCTGGTCCGGTTTGAGCCGGTTTGAGCCGGTCTGGTCCAGTTTGTGTATGGTTAATCCGGTCTGGTCAGGTTTGAGTCCGGTTTGAGCCTGTATGGTCCGGTTTGAGCCTGTCTGGTCAAGTTTGAGTTGGTCAAAACCATTTTCAGCCGGTCTGGTCCGGTGTGATCCGTTAAAAACCCGTTTGAGTGCCGTTTGAGCTGGTCAAAAATGGTTTGAGCTGGTCTGGTCCGGTTTGAGCCTGTTTGAGCCGGTCTGGTCCGGTTTGATTCGATTTGAGCCGGTCTGGCCTGGTTTGCGACGGTCAAAACGTGTTGGAGCCTGTCTGGTCCGGTTAGAGCTGGTCTGGTCCTGTTGGAGCCGGTCAAAACCGGTTTGACCCGGTCTATTCCTGTTTGAGTCTGGTTTGAGCCTGTCAAAACCGGTTTGAGCCGGTCTGGTCCGGTTTGAGTCCGGTTTGAGTCCGGTTTGAGCCCATCGAAACCGGTTTGTGCCGGTCTGGTCCAGTTTGATCCGTTAAAAACCCGTTTGAGTCCGGTTTGAGCCGGTGAAAAACGGTTTGAGCCGGTCTGGTCCGGTTTGAGCTGGTTTGAGCCGGTCTGCCCTGGTTTGCGACGGTCAAAGCCTGTTGGAGCCTGTCTGGTCCGGTTTGAGCCGGTCTGGTCCTGTTGGAGCTGGTCAAAAGCACTTTGACCCGGTCTAGTCCCGTTTGAGTCCGGTTTGAGCTGGTCAAAACCGGTTTGAGCTGGTCTGGTCCGGTTTGAGTCCGGTTTGAGCCCGTCAAAACTGGTTTGAGACGGTCTGGTCCGGTTTGATCTGTTAAAAACCGGTTTGAGTCCGGTTTTAGCCGATCAAAACGGTTGGAGCTGGTCTGGTCCAGTGTGAGCCGGTTTGAGCCGGTCAAAATGGTTTGTGCCAGTCTGGTATGGTTTGAGGCGGTGTCAACTGGTTTGAGCCGGTCTGCTCCGGTTTGAGTCCGATTTGAGCCGGTCAAAACCGGTTTGAGCTGGTCTGGTCCCGTATGAGCTGGTCAAAACCGGTTTGAGCCGGTCTGGTCCGGTTTGATCCGTTAAAAACCAGTTTGAGTCCGATTTTAGCTGGTGAAAAACGGTTTGAGCTGGTCTGGTCCGGTTTGAGGCGGTTTGAGCCGGTCAAAATGGTTTGTGCCAGTCTGGTACGGTTTGAGGTGGTGTAAACCGGTTTGAGCCGGTCTGCTCTGATTTGAGTCCGATTTGAGCCAGTCAAAACCGGTTTGAGCCGGTCTGGTCCGGTATGAGGCGGTCAAAACCCGTTTTAGCCGGTCTGGTCCGGGTTAAGTCCAGTTTGAGCCCGTCAAAACCGGTGTGAGCCGGTTGAACACGGTCCAAACAGGTTTGAGCTGGTCTGATCTGGTTTAAGCCGGTCTGGACTGGTTTGAGCCGGTCAAAACAGGTTTGAGGTGGTATGGTCCGGTTTGAGTCTAGTATGAGCCGGTCAATACCGGTTTGCGCTGGTCTGGTCTAATTTGAGCTGTTCAAAACCGGTTTCACCCGGTCTAGCCGGTCTGGTCAGGTTTGAGCCGGTCTGGTCCGGTTTGAGTCTGGTTTGAGCCAGTCAAAACCGTTTTCATGCTGTCTGGTCCGGTTTGATTCCGGTTTCAGCCGGTCAGTTCCTGTTTGAGACGGTCTGGGCGGGTTTGAGCCGGTCAAAAACATTTTCAGCCTTTCTAATATGGACAAAACTGGTTTTAGCCGTTCTGGTCCAGTTTGATCTGGTTTGAGCCGGTCAAAACCGGTTTGTGCCGGTCAAAACAGGTTTCAGCCGGTCTGGTCCAGTTTGAGCCTTTCTGGTCCGGTTTGAGCCAGTCAAAACCCTTTTTCAGCTAGTCCGGTCCGGTTTGAGCTGGTCAAAACCGGTTTTAGCCGGTCTGGTCTGGTTAGAGTCCAGTTTGAGCCCGTCAAAACCGGTTTGAGCCGGTTGAATACGGTCCAAACAGTTTTGAGCCGGTCTGATCCGGTTTGAGCCGGTCTGGACCAGTTCAAGCCGGACAAAACCAGTTTGAGGCGGTCTGGTCCGGTTTGAGTCCGGTATGAGCCGGTCAAAACCGGTTTGTGCCGGTGTGGTCTGATTTGAGCCAGTCAAAACCGGTTTCAGCCAATCTAGCCAGTCTGGTCCGGTTTGAGCCGGTCTGGTCCAGTTTGAGTCCGGTTTGAGCCGGTCAAAACCGTTTTCATCCGGTCTGGTCCGGTTTGATTCGGGTTTGAGCCGGTCTGGTCCTGTTTGAGCCGGTCTGGTCGGGTTTGAGCCGGTCAAAACCATTTTCAGCCAGTCTACTATGGACAAAACAGGTTTGAGCCAGTCTGGTACAGTTTGATCCGGTTTGAGCCGGTCAAAACCGGTTTGAGTCTGGTTTGAGCTGGTCAAAACCAGTTTTAGCCGGTCTAGCTGGTCTGTTCCGGATTGATCCGGTTTGACCCGTTCTGGTTGGGTTCGATGTAGTTTGATTCCATGTTTTCCGGTTTGAGCCGGTTTGAGCAGGTCTGGTCTGGTTAGAGTCCGGTATGAGCCGGTCAAAACCGGTTTGAGCTGGTTTGAGCCGGTCTGGTCCGGTTTGATCCGATTTGAGCCGGTCTGGCCCGGTTTGAGCTGGTCAAAACCGGTTTGAGCCAGTCTGGTCGGGTTTGAGCCGGTCAAAACCATTTTCAGCCGGTCTGCTCCGGTTTAAGTCTGGTTTGATCTGGTCAAAACCGGTTTGTGCCGGTCTGGTCCGGATTGAGACGGTCAAAACCGGTTTGAGCTGGTCTGGTCCAGTTTGAGTCCGTTTAAGCCGGTCTGGTCTGGTTTGAGTCTGGTTTGAGATGGTCTGGTTGTGTTTGAGCTGGTCAAAAACATTTTCAGCAGGTCTGGTGCGGTTTGAGTCTGGTTTGTTCGGGTCAAAACCGGTTTGTGCCGGTCTGGTCCGGTTTGTGACGGTGAAAATCGGTTTGAGCCGGTCTGGTCCGGTTTGAGTCCGATTTGAGCCAGTCAAAACCGGTTTGAGCCGGTCTGGTCCATGTGGATCCGGTTTGAGCCAGTCTGGTCCGGTTTGATACAGTTTGAGCC